CAGTGGCGATCCTGCTGTAACCTTTAAATTTTTTAATAAAAAACGGTTGTCTTAACTGAAAGATTTCTTCTGATTGTACCTTTCCGTTCCCTCATTATTACTACACTACCTTACACCAACCTCTTCGTTATTGTTCTGTTTTTTTTTCACGCTCCTTACCTTTTTTTCTCTCTTCGAATTCTCATTGTTTTGTGTGGCACATATATTATTGGCGCTCTCTTGTACCAATATTTGTGTTCAAATAAATAATACCAAACACCCTTGTTATATGAGGTTAAGTACAGATAATCACCTAAGCCATAAGTTTCGTAATTCCGTTTATCGGATTCATTTCATATGTTTTATCTTTCTCACTGCTACTACTTTTATTTAGACACTTTTGTAATTCCTCATAATAATTTCATTTCACTGTGCTAATGTAATGTAGCAGAATTAAGCACATTAGGTCTGTGACAACCTGTATACTGATTTAGAATGATTCATAACTACAAACACTTCTAGTAAATGCATGTGTCGCACCTGAAAAAGAAACCAACTGGATGCGACGTAAATTGTTGCAGTTAATACTAATTTACTAAAAGTAGGAAGGAACCAAACGAATTGTAACTAGTGGTGGAGCCCACGATACACATCCTGTCCAATTTGGGACTTATCGGCTGGATGAACTTGCACTCGTGTTGATGCACACATTTGTACTCGGACCGATTAACTTGCGGTTCGAACCCCGAGTTCACAAAGCACTAGTAGGATGTTTATATTGCTATTATTGCTAATCGTGTGAATTATCCCATTGTTTATATTTAGGACTGAATTTTAATCAGTCTTTGCTATTATGTGAGCTTATTGCCCATTGTCCTAATCTGATTATTTCATCACAAGTTAGGGACCATCAAGACTTAGCAGCCCAGTGAACGAATCGTTAACGTTTGAAAAGAAAGATGGGTTCAAGTCGCAATTTAAATAATAAATCCAGAAGTCCAAGTACATCCAGCTAATGAGACCCAAATAATAAAATACGAGTTCTAGACTCCATTGTTACCTTTAATGCACTAGTTCTATAAAACTTGTAACGAAGTGGCTATATTGAGGGAACCGACATAGGAAGCACTTATCCCAACAAAAGTTGATCGAAAGTCATCAATATCAACAACGAAAAAAACATATCCTTACTAATATTACAGGTATAAATGACTAAACGAACTATAAACCTCTTTTCAAACCGTTACTTACTTTGAATGACCTTAACAACGCGATACTGAGAAGACAAAGTTATCATAACCGCGTTTGGTAAGTGAGTGACTGGAATATCCTCCCCTCACTTTACTGAATTTGTTTTAGGCATTTTGATTGTATCACTAGCTCTCAAACATACATATACAAGATAGTGTACTTTCATCTAGAGTACGCAAACCAATAATTAATGGATGAGTGGCAGAGTAATTTAGTAGTGAGACACATTCATACCTTGCATGGAATGAAATTGTATTATGCGTAAATGAAATACCGTACGAACTCATTTTCAAAAACCATAAAATATACACAAACTACGACTACAAATTAAAATCTTAATGAATAAACTTATTAGACAAAGCTACTATACAGGTGAGATAAATAATTTGCATAATTTTTTGGTAATGATAAAAAAATGCATTCATCATAGTGTGTTCATTTCAATGTATTGATTTAGTTCATTTTGATTTTGATATCATGTCCACCTCGAAGATCCTACGTTATTATTTAATGAATAAGATTTCATTCATGCGATGTATAATGTACCGAAATGTAATTTTATGACTTAAATTAAACATTATGAAAGAAATTAGTTTTTCAACATTTTATACATATGTACATATTAATAGACAAAATTGGTATCGGTTAAACTGAGGTCAAATTGAATGTAGGTTTAATTTTTCTAGTCTTGTTCAGGAATGTAAATTGCGAAAGACTTTTAGTACATCATACATACAGAGTAAATTTTGACTCTTTTATGAGAAATATATTCAAAAAGATTCAACTTAATGAAATGTTTTTATCAATCGTAGTATAAAAACGAATTAAATAAAACAATAAGTTCACACTAACAAATTAATTAGAAACAACTTGAGAAATATAAGGATAGTAATATCATGTGCAAGAAGAATGAGTGTAACTGAGTCACTCCAATCAATCATAAGTCATATTACGTAATCTCTTTAAGTATAAATCCCTTTTACCTGGTTGACGTAATGCTCGAACAACAGAAGCTATTTCAAATGTTTTAAGTTGTAGTCGTAATTTATTTATATGGAAGATGAATCCAGAGAGAAAGGAAATAATAAGAGGGAATGTATGCAGATAAGTCATAACTCCCAGAAATACTTTTTGCATTTATTCAACAATCAATTAATATAGATCCTACGGACGAGTTATTATTAATTACTAAGTGTTTTTATAAGTCTTGAACAAACTGGCTAATCCCGTCTTTAGTTAAGGTATGCGAGAACCTGCACAACTTTCGCGTAAGTTAAATTTGTAGTTACTGATGTGTCGGTGGCATATTTTCCCACAGCCAGAAAATAACAATACGATATTGCAAAACTATATTAGTTAGAAATATTAAGAACAAACAACCAGTCTCCAGAAGACTTCTCTCAGCGAGCTACAGCTGACTCATATGACCCAGACAAACATTTGATTTTGATGATAACGAAGGATACAGTTAAGTATCTACAAACATTAATTAGCAACTGGAAACAATTCAGGGTATCTTATTTTATTCGAGGTTCGTCGGTTGGATTATTTGCATGTTTCGATATTCTCACTGTAACTTAAGCTTATTATTATATGAAGAAACAAAGGATCGCGACAATGCATCAACTAGATTACTGTAGTTACCCCATATGATATAGGATTTTTCTTCGGCTTAGACTATTTTGCGATTTAACTGGGCATCTTGTGGAACTGTTGATGCAACATTCCACTTAATAACTACGATATATCATCAGTCATTTGCTCAATGAAAACACGTAGAAACCCTTAACGGTTATCACCTGGACTTCAGGAGATGCTCCACTAGGCTCATTCACCCTTATTGACTACTCGTTTTACACATACCAGTACAGCGAAATGTGATAATGCATCGGATTATGCTTGGACGTATTCATGTATGGTTTTAAGTAATCAAAACAAAAAATTTCTCGGAAAGATAATTGAACTCGTCACTAAGTTTTTTCCGGAATTCTCTGAGAAAAATTATATCAAACCGAACTTATTCACTTGAGTAATACTAACATTTGGGTGTCAAAAAGTATACCTAACCACTCGCTATGTAGAATAAGGACAGAGACTAGGTGACTACCACCAATTAGAATTCACTTTATATACAAACTGACAAGCCACTTGTTGAAATATATGAAGGACGAAAAATCAGTATTTATAAATGGTTGAGTTTAGTTTGTCATATCTCACGAGGAGGATATTGTCATAGCAAACAAAGTGTTAACAGAGAATTGAGTTATCATAGATATAGCCCATTGGGATTACCGTGCACCATATACCAATTCAATTGGATTTAAATATACTATTTATTGGTGACTTGTTTCGTAACAATCTTCGGGCAACTAAGTTATAAGCAAACATAACTGCTCGACAGCGATATCAGTTAAATAACAAGATCCAGGATTTAATGCTAACGACAGCTATCACATGCAGTCCTCGCTGCAAGGGACAAAAACTAAGTAAAACATTGCTAAATATATCTACTATGCTTCGGTAAAATCAATTAATCATAGTTGCTAATTTCGTTGCAATTCTAATACATATTTTGAGTTGCTGCTTAGTGCTTATGATGTAAACATACACCCATTTGTATCAGCTTAATCACTTGATATAAAAAAACAATTCTGAGAGACTTATCGAATCTTTGTGAAACTCAGGAGACTCAGAAAAACACGACTAGGTCGGTATGGCAAAAGCTTAGTTCGTCCTTTTAAACAGATTGACGTTAAGTGCAGCCATATACAAACCCATGAATCAACGCCACAATCAAAACCACTTACCATTAGAGCAACGAACGTAGTGATACTGAATCTTGTAACCTAGCGACCCAATACCAAAAGGCTTAAATCGCTACTATATTAATTGCATTTATTAAAGTAGTTTAAGGCATACAGGGATGAGTAACGTATGAACAAGACTAATTGACAATACGAATCCCGAGCCCAACTGGAAATAATCTCGTACTGTACATTACAAAGTTGCTACACGCCTAGACAAAGATAAATCAAGAGCTACTCTGTAAGCATTCGCAGTGAGATTGGGGAATATTAAACTTGACAACCGGGTTGCTTTGAGCTGGCCGAACTATTTACTTAGTGATTATAGCAAAGCAACCTGTGGGATTCGGCAGGATCTACTCGAATCTTATCATCTTGACTAGCTCAAGACTAGTCACACCACGACTACGTACCCGTTGCCTGCCAATTAAATCATCATAGTAACAGTTGGGAATAGACTGTCTGTAATATCTGAAGTATTGGTTGATATATGATTAACACAGTGATAGGAAAACTCTATATTTAGTATAACTGGATCGACTTAACATACAAAAAGACAATAACCACAAAGAAAAAGTATTATGCATGTGTCCAGCAATAAATTAGGCTAACTGAAAATAGAATGTGCATTCAAATGTCGCAGATAAAACATTTGACACGAACAGATTACTGATTTGCAGTTTTATATCACTTACAAAAAGATGAAAATCAAAATGTACTAACCACATCCAATATATGAGGAAAACTGATTTCGGCTGGACGTACATGATTTGGAATGGATTGGTTAAGTAGAAGGATAAATGAATATCACCACTGAGCGTATTTCTCAGCGAGGTCAATGGATCAGTTTCACAGACGACATAAAATTAACGTTATATTGATAAGTATGTCAAAAGAATAGATGTTTTTGACATAGTTGATTAGTATGAGACAGCAGGGTAAGTAGGGTAGCTGAGGTAAGGGGGTTCACTTAGTGGACAAAATGAGAGCGACAATTAATCCGTAAAGACCAAGGACTTCTGCGAAAATTAGGATTAGCACCATTCCTACGAATAGCCTAGATTGTTGAGCTGTGCCACGTACACCAGCATCACCAACTATCCCAATGGCAAAACCTGCACCAAGACCACTAAGTCCTACACTCAGGCCAGCACCGAGCTGATTAAGAGACCTGAGTTCTGATATGAATTTCTGTTATGTTAACTTACACGTCAAGTTTCTTCAAATCCTGACCACGTTGAACTATAAGAACTGCTACGACGAGACCATAAATTGCTATTATACCAGCCATAACAACCGGAATAATTGACTTAATGATTAATTCAGGTCTCATCACTCCCATAGAGCAGATGCCTGCTCCGGACTTGGCAGTCCCATAAGCAGCGCCCAAGCCTAGCATAAAAAGAAAGGAATTTCAAACTTACAACAAAATACCACTGCAGAAACGGCGCCAATCACACCGAAAAAAGGAGAATATATCGGATCAGTCGAATCCATTGCACAACAGCCAAAAGTCAACAACACCTACAATAATGGAATCACCGCATAGTAAAACAACTCCCAGAACACAATGAATCTTTAATCGAATGAAGAACAGAATAGAGATTGTTTGAATTATTGTCATTCTTCCAACCCATACTGAGACTTTGTTTCTTATTTAAGTCAGTTCAGCAAATGACATTCACAATTCCTCCCTTACTTCGCCTGTTACTCCTCGTGGAGGAGTATAGGCCGCTCACTAGTACTCTCCATCCAACCCTGTCCTGGGCAATCCTTCCCATTTGTTATTCATCCTTTTCATGTTTGCTTCTATTTCCCGCGTAATGTGTTCTTTGGCCTTCTCGTTTTCCGCTTCCCTTCAGGATTCTGAGTTAAGGTTTGCCTCTTGATGCAGTTTGGTGATTTGCGTAATGTATGTCCTATCCATTTCCATCGTCTTTTCCTAATTTCCTCTTCAGCTGGAAGGTGGCTTGTTCTCTCCCACAGAAGGCTGTTGCTGATGGTATCTTACACAGACAACCATTTATAAATACCTGTACCTTCTTGATAATGGCTGTAGTAGTTCTTCAAGTTTCGGCTCCGTTCAGTAGAACTGTCTTGACGTTCGTATTGAAGATTCCGACTTTGATATTGGTTGAAAGTCGTTCTCCAATTGTAGGAATGCGGCCCTTGTTTTGCTAATCCTGGCCTTTACATATGCATCTGAACCTCCTTGTTCATCGATGATGCTTCCCAGGTATGTGAAGGATTCTACATCTTCCAGAGCTTCGCCATCAAGAGTGGTTGGATTGCTGTTCTCCGTTTTGAATTTGAGGACCATGGTTTTCCCTTTGTGTATGCTGAGGCCTACTGATGCAGAGACTGCTGCTACATTGACTGTCTTCATCTGCATCTGTTCGTGTGTACGTGATAGGAGGGCTAGGTCATTTGCGAAGTCCAAATAGTCTTGTAGCGGTAAATAAATCCCCAAAATAAATAGCACAATAAGTTTTCGACATTGGATGCTGACCATATGTTTTAGTGGACTCATCTAGCTGAAGGCGCTCGGTCAGGCATCCGCACCAGATCACGTGTAGTAACGCCGTGCTCAACATCAACCACAATCGCTAGCCAGATTAGATCAGAGAATCCCGGTATATTGGTCATCGCCAAATATACTCTTCCGATCTCCTCGACTCTGTCTTTTGATTTCTCTTGGTGGGAACGAAATATCTTAGAAGGTGTTACTGGTAGAAGCGTTGTCAAACACTGAATACCTGTGACATCATCATTGGTGAGACCGTCGTGATCTGGTACACCTTATTGCAACTGTGAGTCTGTTCCTTTTTGGGATTTTTATATATCATTGCCTTATTTTTTATTTTTTTTAAACATTGTGATTTTTTTTCGTGTTTTTCTTGGATATATATATATATTTTCCCCTCGTTCATTATCGTACTTCATATTTCATCATGACTGAACAGACACCTAAAGTACTCAAGCTTAAGACCTTGTCCCCACCTTCGTTTCAACTGATGCCTTTCTGGCCCGACAACATCGAAGCCTGGTTTTGCTACGCAGAAGCCGACTTTTCCGAGCACGGCGTGATCGACACACGTGCACAATTCCTCGCAGTAGTCAAGGCACTGCCGCGGGAATTCAACAGGTACGTAACACCTAGTATGTTTACTAGTGATGTTTCCGATCCTTACGAAATCTTAAAACGCTCGATTCTTAAACGAGGAGACCTAACCGATCGACAAAGGTTAGATCAACTCTTCAACAATATCGACCTGCAACACGGTTCTGCGACGGACATGTTGCAACGGATGAGAGAGGTTATAGGCCCAAGAACTTTCGACGAAGGTCTATTCAAACAACTCTTCTTGTCAAAACTTCCCCAACAGGTGCAAGCAGTTCTGGTCTCGTTCCAGAACAACGCCTTAGACGAACTAGCTGTATCTGCCGACCGCATTCTAGAAATTACGAAACCTTCTACTACCGAGGTATTTTCAGTCAAAGAAAAGCCTCACACGACTCAGAATGACATAACCGACTTATGTCACACACTCACGCGTTATCTTAGTCTTCGTACCGACCGTAAGAGATCGCGCACACCACGTAGAAGCATTTCTCGTAAGCGATCTGTCTCTAGACCACGAGAGACAGATAACCCCGACTGGTGCTGGTATCATAACCAGTATGGAAAGTTTTCCAGAAATTGCAGAAAACCCTGCAATTTTCCCAACACGAAACCGACTGATTCGGGAAACTTCCAAGCCGGCACGCGTTAACGGCAACCGTAGCCGGCGAACAAAGCCGTCTGTTATTCGTCACAGATGTGACAACGAGAGTTCGCTACCTCGTCGACACTGGCGCAGAAGTTAGCGTTCTCCCAGCAAATCCTAACGACCGACTTCACGAATCGACCCTAAACTTACAGGCGGCAAACGGAAAACCGATCGCTACGTATGGCAAAAGGTACGTTTACCTTAACGTGGGTTTACGCAAACCCATCCACTGGATTTTCGTCGTTGCAGATGTTTCTATGCCAATCATTGGTATGGACCTTCTACAACACCACAATCTGATCATCGACACTCGCAAACGGAGGCTAGTAGACGGAAACACTAATTTGTCCGTTTGCGTAACTTCTTTTACTGGTTGTAGAGTATCCCCAGTCACAGTTAAACATATGATAGACCCACTCTATCAACCACTACTCGATAAGTACCCTGGGATACAACAAACGCAAACGAAACTACCGTGTGTAACCAGCAATGTTACACATCACATCACGACTACAGGACCACCTGTATTTTCTAAAGCACGACGACTAGCTCCTGAAAAGCTAAGGTTAGCGAAAAACGAATTCGATCACATGATGGACTTAGGAATCATACGACCGTCAAGTAGCCCATATGCATCTCCGTTGCACATGGTCCCTAAAAAGGACAGCAACGATTGGCGTCCAACTGGTGACTATCGGCGATTGAACGCGAAAACCATTCCCGATCGTTACCCGTTGCCTCACATTCACGATTTGACAGCTACCTTGAAAGGTACAACTGTCTTTTCGAAAATCGACTTGGTTAAAGCGTATAACCAAATCCCTATGGCCACTGACGACATACCGAAAACGGCTATCATAACTCCCTTCGGACTCTATGAATTTTTGCGAATGCCTTTCGGTCTAAGGAATGCTGCTCAAACATTCCAAAGATTCATAGACGACGTTTTTCGAGGTCTCAACTTCGTACACGCGTATGTTGACGACTGTCTAATCGCAAGTCCGGACAGAGAAACACATCTCAAGCATCTGGACCTTGTTTTCGAACGATTACAAAAACATGGCATAACTGTAAACGTTCAGAAATGCCAATTTGGAACCGACTCGTTAGACTTTCTGGGACACACTATCGATGCTCAAGGTATCCGACCCCTTAGAACCAAAGTGGCGGCCATTCTGGATTACCCAGAACCGACCACCGTCAAGCAATTACGCACGTTCAACGGCCTGGTAAGTTTCTATAGACGTTTCATACCCAGATGCGCATCACTTATGAAACCTCTGACCGACCAACTTCGTGGAAATGCGAAATCCATTAATTTGGACGACACCGCACGAAAAGCATTCTCCACAGTCAAGGAACTGATTGCTAAAGCAACAATGCTCGCACATCAGGACACCCGAGCACCCATTAGCATCGCAGTAGACGCATCCGACTCAGCAATCGGAGGAGTCTTACAACAATGGGTTAACAACTCCTGGCAACCCTTGGCATTTTTCTCTAGAAGGTTGCTAGACACCGAATCGAGGTACAGCACATTCGGTAGGGAACTCCTAGCTATGTATTGTGCTGTACGGCATTTCCAACACTATATCGAAGGCCGTGAATTCACTCTTTTCACGGACCATAAACCGCTCACTTTCTCGTTAAGCTCTCCTTCTGACAAGTACTCTCCCCGTGAGTCTCGACAACTGGACTACATTTCGCAGTTTACTTCAGATATTCAACACATCTCTGGAGCAAACAATGTAGTTGCAGACGCTTTATCTCGTATAACTTCCTTGAACAGTTTCCAAGGAATCGACCTTCTTAAACTCGCCGAGCTTCAAAAAGAAGACAGTGATCTTCAGCACGAGTTATCGTCCACAACACTTAAACTACGCATCAAACAGATGGGAACAGGTAAGGAAACCTTACTTTGTGACACATCTACAGGTAGGGATCGCCCAATCGTGCCGAAACATTATCGACGCAATGTCTTCAACACATTGCACAAACTTTCTCATCCAGGTGTTCGTGCAACCATCAAGCTTATAGCAGAACGATTTTGCTGGCCTGGCATGAATAAAGACGTGAGGGAGTGGGCACGCTCCTGTGTAAGCTGCCAAAAATCTAAGGTTATCAGACACAATAAATGTCCCTTAGGCTCGTTTAAAACTCCCGATGCTCGTTTCGACCATGTTCATCTGGATTTGGTAGGACCTTTACCAGATTCAAATGGATACTCTTATCTCTTAACCTGCGTAGACCGTTTCACTCGATGGCCAGAAGCAGTACCTATCAAGGACAGCACTGCTGAAACAGTGGCCCGCACATTCGTCGAACGATGGGTAGCAAACTTCGGTTGCCCTTCAACCATCACTACAGACCGCGGACGTCAGTTTGAATCTGATCTTTTCCGTCGTCTGACCACACTTTTAGGAATCACTCGCTTCCGAACGACCGCCTACCATCCCCAAGCAAACGGGTTGGTAGAACGTTTTCACCGACAACTGAAAGCTTCGCTATCAGCTGCAAACGTTTCACAATGGACCGACGCTCTTCCACTCGTCTTACTAGGTATCCGCAATGCAGTGAAAGCTGACATTGGATACACTGCGGCTCAACTCGTTTATGGAACGACACTTCGACTTCCAGGAGAATTCGTGGATCCTTCGTGCTCTTCGATGAACATGGATCTAACCTCCTACACGAACAGGCTTACAAACGCAATGCGTTCAGTTAAACCTGCTTCCACTCGACCTCAATCAACTGATGTTTTCGTTCAACCTGACTTACGATATAGTACACACGTTTTCATTCGTCGAGACTCGCATCGACGACCATTCGAATCAGCATACGAAGGACCCTTCAAAGTTCTTCAACGTGAATCTAAGTACTATATAGTCGATAAGAACGGAACCAACGATAGCATCAGCATCGATCGCTTAAAAGCAGCGTATTTAGAAGGAAATCCTATCCACGTCGATTTTCCTTCGGTACAATCGAACGACACGACTCAGACACTAATAATACCTCATCCGACAACCAACGCACACGAAGATACTTCGACAGTATCCGAAAATAAACTTAAAACGACGCGTTCTGGAAGAAGGGTGAGATTTCCAGAACATTTAAACGACTATTGCACGTAAGGCACTTCTCGACATTTTATATTATTTTTTTTTTGAAAAAAAAAACAATTTTAATATGCTTATATATTTTTATTTCTATTAAAAAAAACAAAACAAAAAAAACAATTTTTTAACGCTATTACGTGCTCATGAGTTTATTTTCCATTTTTTTTCCGCCGACCTTGTGTTTTTACGCATATACGAGTGTATTTCGACATGCACTTACATTTTCTTTTTTCTTTTCCAGGACGGCTGGAAAAGAACGATGACGTTTATGAGGATCCGAAATTTTCATTGTACATTTTCTTTTTTTTACTATGTTGTACCTCCGTCCCATATAGTAAGGAAAGACGACCAGACGCTGCTAAATTTAGTAAGCTATCAGAAGAGTGTTTACCAACGACAAACTCGTTGGGTTTAAACTTCTGGCTGGCCACGTCTTAGGGTCGTCACTGCCCCACTAGGGGGGGAGTGATCTGTAGCGGTAAATAAATCCCTAAAATAAATAGCTCTGTAAGTTTTCGACATTGGATGCTGACCATATGTTTTAGTGGACTCATCTAGCTGAAGGCGCTCGGTCAGGCATCCGCACCAGATCACGTGTAGTAACGCCGTGCTCAACATCAACCACAATCGCTAGCCAGATTAGATCAGAGAATCCCGGTATATTGGTCATCGCCAAATATACTCTTCCGATCTCCTCGACTCTGTCTTTTGATTTCTCTTGGTGGGAACGAAATATCTTAGAAGGTGTTACTGGTAGAAGCGTTGTCAAACACTGAACACCTGTGACATCATCAGTCTAATTGGTCCTGAGCTGTCCATTGTATTCCGTATTTTCCCTCAGATGTCAAGGTCTTCATAATCCAGTCGACCACCAGGAAAAAAAGGAAGGGAGAGAGTAAACAGCCTTGTCTGACTCCTGTCCTTACTTGGAATGCGTCTGTCAGCTGTCCTCCATGCACGACCTTGCACTGTAGTCCGTCGTATGAGTTCCGGATAATGTTGATGATCTTCTCAGGAGCTCCGTAGTGTCCAAGAAGCTTCCAAAATGTTCTCCTTTCTACACTGTCAAATACCTTTTCATAATCAATGAAGTTGATGTACAGTGACGAGTTCCACTCAACTCACTGTTCGACGATGATCCGTAGTGTTGCAAGTTGGTCTGTGCACGACCGATCCCTACGGAATCCAGCTTGTTGATCTCGAAGTTGGGCGTCTACTGCATCCTTCATCCGGTTCAGCAACATTCTGTTGAAGACTTTCCCTGGTATTGACAGTAGTGTAATGCCTCTGTAGTTTCCACATTTGCTCAGGTTTCCTTTCTTTGGAATCTTGACGAGGTGTCCTTCTTTCCAGTCCACTTTTAAAGTTCCTCCTCCCAAATCTTTTTGAATAGAAGGTATAGCATCCTTGTGGTTGCTTCGATGTCTGATTTCAGTGCTTCAGCTGGTATGTTGTCGGGTCCTGCTGCTTTCCCGTTCTCGATTTGTCTGACGGCCATTCTAATTTATTCCGTCGTTGGTGGGTTGACATCTATAGGAAGATCTATGTGTGCTGCTTCGATGTCCGGTGGATTCATTGGAGCCGGCCTATTCAGGAGTTCCTCGAAGTATTCCACCCATCTGTTACGCTGTTGTTGAATTTCAGTGATTGGCTTGCCTTCTTTGTCTTTGACCGGCCTCTCTGGTTTACTGTATTTCCCTGCTAGTTTCTTCGTTGTATCGTGAAGCTGTTTCATATTTCCTTCTCTAGCAGCTTTTTCTGCCGTCGTTGCTAGTTCTTCCACGTATTTCTTCTTGTCGGCTCTAATGCTCCTCTTCACTTGTTTGTTTGCTTCTATGTATTCAGCTTGTGCTTGGACTTTCTCTGCTCGTGTTCGGCTGTTGTTAATTGCTGCCTTCTTGTTCTTCCTTTCTTTGATCTTGTCCAGTGTTTCTATAGAGATCCATTCCTTATGATGGTGTTTCTTTAGGCCCAGAACCTCTTGACACGTTGAAGTTAATGCTTCCTTGATGCCTTTCCAGTTGTCCTCCATAGTAGTTTCTTCTTCATTCAGTAGATCTTGTAAGGCTTGGAACCTGTTGTTGAGAGCTATCTTGAATTCATTGAGTTTGTCAGTATCTCGAAGGAAGGCTGTATTGAACCTTTGTAGTGCTGTTTGTCCAGTTTTTCTTTAGCTTTAGTTTTAAATTGGACACAACTAGGTGGTGATCTGAAGCTACGTCAGCTCCTCTCCTGGTTCTCACATCTTCCATTGCCCTTCGGAATTTTTTGTTGATGGAAATATGATCTATCTGGTTCTCTGTAGAGTGGTCCGGTGAGATCCATGTAGCCTTGTGTATACGCTTGTGTGGAAATATTGTGCCTCCTATGACTAATTTGTTGAATGCACACAAATTTGCAAATCTTTCTCCATTTTCGTTTCTTTCTCCCAGTCCATGTCGTCCCATAATATCTCCATATTCAGTGTTGTCTATTCCGACTTTGGCATTTAGATCTCCCATCAGAATAGTTAGGTCCTTTCTTCGGCATTTCTCAATGATTGACTGCAGCCGCTCGTAGAACTGATCTTTAATGTCGTCGTTGCTATCATTAGTGGGTGCATAACATTGGATAATATTCATTGTGATCCCCTCCTTCTTTGTTTTGAATGATGCTTTGATGATTCTGGATCCGTCAGATTGCCATCCTACAAGTGAATTTCGTGCTATTTTGGACAGCATTAGAGCAACTCCCTGAGTGTGTGGAGCATTTTCCTCTTCGTGACCGGAGTACAGCAGCATCTCTTCCGTATTTAGCCTTTTCTTTCCAGCTTGCGTCCAATGGGTCTCAATTATTTCGAGTACTGCCAAATTGTATATCCTCATTTCTGTTGCTGTTTGACTGGCCTTCCCGGTCTCCCACATTGTCCGGACGTTCCATGTACCTATAAAAATTGTTGCTCTGGTTGTTAGAAGAGGCATCGGCCTCGTGGCTTCCGAAGCGTCATAAGTCTTCTAAATAAAGACCTTCCAACTACCAGCGCAGAGTTTAAATGGTTTGGATTATTTTTTCTGGTTGGCGTTTTTTTAGCAAGTTAGTTTTCTACGGGATGGGGTCGCTAACCCATGCCCAACTCTCCTCCTTTACCCGGGCTTGGGACCGGCAGCAACTCTAGAAGAGCTACAGGCTTCACAATCCCGAGTACTTAATATCTTTTAACATTGTGAACACTGTAAAGGAGATAAATTCCAAAAATAAGTCGTCTTGTGAGTTTTCGATATTGATACTGACCTGATTAGTTTTGCTGGACACACCTAGATGAGGGCTTTCAATCACGCATACACATCAGATCACGAGTGGGTACGCCGTGCTATGCATCCTTGCAAGTGCTGACCGGCTTATGTCATACGCTTTTCGACATATTGACAACCTTCCAAATATGTTTTCGAACTCACTCGGTCCCGACTTCTGATCTGGCTGGGTATACAGCTGTCAATTATAAACGTGTTACAGACAGAAGCGTTGTAAAACCCTGAATAATGGTGAACCCAAAGTGGTCTGGTACACCAGATGATAGACATTGAGTTTGTTCTTAACTAGAACATTGTGCGTCATTCTTTATTTTTACATGCCGTGATACTTTTTCATCGTCGGATATTTTTGTCCATTTATATATTTCATCCTCATTATGACAGAAAAAACACCCAGACTGTTGAAATTTAAAACTCCTACTCCTTCGACGTTTCAACTAGTGCTATTCTTGCCTGATAACATTGAAGCAATATTCTGCTGTGCATATGCCGGCTTCCACTAGTACGGTGTGACGGGCTCACGTGCATAACTCCTTGCAGCAATGAGTGCGCCGCTGCGCGATTTTAAAGGGTATATTACACGTAGTATATTTACTAGTGGTGTTTCCGAACCTTATAACATCTATCCCCAAACGGGGAGATCCAACAAATCGACAGTGTTTGACAAATTCTTCCACAATATACAATTGCGACATGGCCCAGCAACAGAAATGTTGCTACTTATGCAGGCAGTCATTAGTCAATGGACCTTTGATGAAAGCCTCTCTGAACAAATTTTGTTGTCTGAACTTCCTGAACAGATGCAAGCCATCTTCATCGTATTTCAAAATAGTACCGTGGACTAGCTGGCTACATCAACCAATCGAATTCTAGAGATCATTGGAACACCCAGAAACGAGGTTTTTTCTGTCAGAGAAAAGCTTCAACGGACACAAAGTGAAATTACAGGTCTCTGCATCACTCTAACTCGTAATCTGAATATTCGCCATAATCACATACGCTTAGGAACTTCTTAAAGAAGCCAGTCAAGAAAAAGACTTGTCTGTAGACCACGAGAAACAGGTGACCGTGATGGGTGTTATCACACCGAGTAAGGTAAGTCCTATAAAAATTGCAAGAGACCATGCCGTTTACCAGACTCAAGAGATGCCGTCACGACAAACCTTCCGGTTAACTCCTCCGCTGTCACGCGTTAACACCAACCGTAGCCGGTCGAAATAGCTGTGCTATACATCACTCATATGATGACGAAAGTTCACTATCACACCGACAACAGCTCAGAAGTCAGCGTCCTTCATGCGGGTACAAAGATCCAGCCTTTAATTTACAGACGGCAAATTCAAAATCAATCGCCATACTCGGTATAAGGTATGTTTATTTTGGTTTTACACAAACCCATCCACTGGATTTTCGTTTTTACTGATGCCAACTATTTGTATAGGTCCGCCATAACACCGAAATTTGCTCATCGACCCAAGCAAACGAATGTTAGTAGATCGAAACACTCATTTATCCTTCTGTGGAATTTTTTGTTCTGGTTGTAGGTCATGCTCGGTCACGGATCAACATATAATCAACCCATATTCTAAACAGACACTAGACAGGCACCCTGGACTTTGCGGAACACGACCGATTGTATATGAAAACCATTCACGATCGTCATC